CTCCCTCCCCCTCCGCCTTCACCGCCACCTTTACTACTATTACTACTACTACTATTATTCTACATCATTACTGTACCGTCACCGCTACCCGACCCCTCCACCTCCTCTCTTCTCCCGAGCCCTTTGGACGGTGCGTTTTTGCTGCCAGGCCCGAACGGAGAGGAGAGAGGCCGACGGACGAGAGGAATTACCGAACGGAAAAAAGCTCTTGTGTTTGTACCGGAGACTGGGACGCTGCAGCGCCCGCGAAGAGGCAGCGTCGTTCTTCACCCTCCCCACTTTCTATCTTATTTATGGTGTCCCTGTCGATGTGCCCTGTATGTATTTGTGGTTTTCGATTGGTTCGGGAACTCCGCCGTTCCTGTGATTATTAACTGTGGTGGCCAGGGAAGCTAAAGGAAAGGTTTTTTTTTATTAGTTCCTAAGTATGATAGAAATAAGGGAATGTCTTTTCAAGGTCTTGATTTTGCACCGTGATGAGTTTTTTTTTTTTTTGGAGCTGATGAGGATTTGCCAACGTTGCTGAACTTATCAGAGGAGAGCGTTGGGTTGCAGGTGGAGCCGCTGAAGGAATCCCACTTCCTAGAATGGAAGCTGCATCCACTAAAGACACACGTTTAGTAGACATAGGAGTGTTTTTCATTGTCGTCGTCGTGCAGTATTAAGGCGTGCATCAAGTGGGACTCCTTCAGCGGTGTCCACTGTAAACACAACAGGAGATATCCTACAGACAATGTGATACAGGTATATTTATTTTAAAACTATTTATAGATAAAGTATGTTCTAGCGCCATCATTTTTACATTTCACATCATTTTAGCCGAGTAGGTTTTTATGAGGAAAAACTATTAAAGACGTACCTGTAGCTGTTGGAACTTTACCTATAAAACTCTATAGACAGGTACAGCGAGTGTATTTATTAACAGGAGTATAAGAGGAGCGCCACAGAAGGACAGTTTACAAGAAAGCTTCATTCCATGTACGTGTAATCTAGAAGCTGTAAAGTCTTATTTGTTTCGTGTGTCTTTTTTGTCTGCCTACAACATTGCACTGATCATGTATATTTTGTTTGTGAGTGTTTTCGTTTCGATTCGGCCGTTACTGAACAGAAGGCCCAGCGGCGGCGCTCGACAAACGGCGCTTCCGTCGTTTACAGAGAGGAGAAGGAGACGCGACCGCCTCCTTTCTGTCTGGACTCCAGTCGGCTACGCAGCAGCAGCAGCAGCAGGATGGACTGAGATGTAAAGAATGTGCATCTGTACATAAACACCATCTTTCTGTTTGTTTTTGTTTTTTCTTCTTCTTTTTTTTGTCAGTGTTAGTCGAAGGTGCTCCTGGAATTTTTTTTTTTTTTTTTTGAGTTTGGGGGATTCCTCCAACCAAACAGAAAGGAGAAACTCAACTGACTATACTCCAAGTGTATGACTGTAGCTTTTAGTGATGTCCGACACTGCTGTCTATAGGCATTTTAACCCTTAAATACCCCCCCTTCCCCTCCAAAAACGACCCCTTCCCCTTGCCAAGAAACTCCACTGCATGTACGATGCTTGGGACCGCTGGGCTCTCGCCGTCCCCCATCGTCGTTACCATGGCGACAGCCCAGCAAGCCACGTGTCTGTATATAGTGAATGTTAAGTATTTGCAAGTACTTTTCTGCATTACGTTCATTTGTCTGTTTTTTTTTTTTCTTTTCCTTTCTTTTTTAAAAAAAAAAAGAATTTGTTTCTTTCTCTCAAATCCAGTGTGTTTAGTGGAAGTTGTCCTTTCAGGTCGCCAGATTTCCAGTCGGGTCCTCCCGTGCAAGTGTGTAATATATTTGAATGTTCCATGCTTGTGGACTCTGTAGTCATCCAATCCAAAAAGGTTTTTTTCTTCTTTTTTTTTTGTTATTTCTACGTCATATATCGCTGGGTTTGTTATACCACTGGATGTACAAATTGTAAAGCAAAGACACTAGAGAACTAAGGCAGACGCCAATTTTTTTTTGTTTGTTTGTTCTGTTTTCTAAAAGCTGAAATGTGATCATGCAATAGTTTTAAGGATAGAGGGAGGTTATATTATACAAAAGGCCTCCGAAAGTTTGGGCCTCATGTTTGCATCGTCAGAAGGGGGACGGTTATGTCATCATTCCACGGTTCAGACCTCCATCCTACTAACCACTGATGTCACTGCTGCCCTACAAAGACGACACAGCAGCTACTTTTCGTGTGCTTTTGAGGCCAGACGTCACAACCTGGCCGTACATTTCATATCGGTAGCCACTTGTGTTCTAATAATGCCTTTTCAGTGACCCTAGGTAAAATGCGGGCTTTGTTTTTTTAGGGCAGAGTTCACCACTTCAGGCTCATCTAGGACATGAAGTCAAAGCAGTCCTCACTAGTTCTTCCAGCAGCCTAAAACGTCTCTCTTCTGTCTCCCCTCTCACCTCACCATGTGGGACAAATAAAAGAAGACAAGAAAAAAAAACAACAAAACAAAAAAAAGAAAGCACATAATCATCTCCAGTGCCTCTCTGCCCACCTTCAGACATCACTGTAACTCCGCTTCAGATGTAAACATATGGGCATGGTTCAGTTTTAATGGCTTTAATAATAAAATACAGTCAAATGTGAACACTTGGTCTGTTCATGTTTTTATTCGTATCAAGAGCACCTAGTTCAGAATAAAAACATACGAGGCAGGAAACACAAGGAGGGAGGCTGAGAAATGTTTATGTTGGGAAGAGGAACGTATAAAAGTGATTGTCGGCCGGATCCTGCTGATCACTGAGCGTGAACCAGAGCGCCGGCTCCTTGGCCGAAACCGAAGCCTTTGGGCCCGAAGTTCTTGGCGTAGCATGCTGTGGAAGAAAAGAAGAAATATTAACACGACTTATTCTTGCATTATTCATCTAAAACTTGACGCTGTGAGGTGATGTCAGGAAACCTCAGCGCAGCAGGCTGTGGATTATGACCAGTCACAACATGTTTGAAAGAAATATTCAAATCACTGCAGTCCTGGATACAGAAGCAACACCTACAAGCAGATATCTATTGTGCGGTAAGAGTTGCCTATTTACACATTCAGCACATTTGGTTTCTTCCAGCTCCACCATATTTACCAGCTTATCTGTCTGCCATGTGGAGCTGAGCAGGAGGAGTTTTCTCTGATAACAGAATGTCTCCTTATTATGTCTGTCCTGGCAGGTGGCAGAAAACTGAAGTCATTTCCATAAAGCTGCTAAAATGTCCTATAAAAGTGGAGAAAACTGCAGAGTTGTTGATAACTGACTGTAAAAGACACACTCTCCACATGAAAATATTGATTCTGCTACAGTTTTGACAGGATTATTGCATTTGGAGCTCTGAAAACCAGGTGATGTCAAGATGAACTGCAGCTGAGGCGTGTGCTAGAATGTAAGACTTGTGTTAATGGGCACGATGAGCCAAAAGTCAAGGTGATGAAGGCGGCTCTGTTTTAACCTGCTAGATGGTTACTGATGCTGGGAGGAGGTTGTGTTCAGGGTGTGTCAGAAAAGTTCCAGGACTGGTGTCACAAAAGATATATTTATAACCCAGACTAGGAGTTTTCCCCTTCAGACGATCAACCAGCACGTCTACAAAGAGATCCTGCGGCGTTTGCTTCGTTCAGAAGAGGCAGAGTTGTGGCAGGACCAGTGGAGGCTGCTTCACCATGACAACGCCCTGAGCATCCGACGGTTCCTGGCTGAGAAGAACATCTCCGTCCTGGAGCAACCTCCCTACTCACCCCACCTGGCTCTGTGGGGTTGTTTCCTCTTCCCCAAACTCAAGGGGGTCATCAAGGAGACCTGTTTAGAAGACGAGGACGACATCAAGATGGCTGTGACGACAGAGATGTGAGGATCCTGGAAGAATCCTTCCAGGAGTGCATGGCGCCGTGGCAGAGAAGGCTGAGGAAGTGTGTTAGACTCCAGAGGGGTTACTGGGAAGGAGAAAACTTGTAGCTTGGATTTGAAATCTATCTTTTGTGACGGCAGTCCTGAAACTTTTCTGACACACCTCATAGGATTTAAATCAGCTGTAAGAAGTGACATCCTTTTACCAGTTCCTTTCCTCACCATATTCTCCTGAAGTGTCACAGATTCTCACCTTAGGGAATATGTTACATCTACAGACCTGCTGAGTTATACGTCAGTGATCCAACTGAACGAAGCCGTGCTGTTTGGAGCACAGAAACCTGCATGCATTCTGATCTACACTGCTGCTGGTACTGTAATACATTAGAAAATGGATGAATCTATTGCTATTTACTCTGATTTGGTCAGAAAATAAAGTGATTTCCTTGCATCCTTCATCCTGGGATGGTGGCAAATCTAGATGTACCTCATTTTAGGAGTTCTGATGTGCAGCTGTCACATTAAGAATAAGCAGCCGGCATTTACAGAGCGGTGAAATAACTATATTAACCTTTATTGTCTCTGATTGATGCACATTATAACTGAGGTTTTAGGGTTTGTGAAGCCAGCTAATGCAAAAGGAAGAGCAAGTTTCACTTTAATCTGACGTCACTGGTTGTCTGGTTATATACGCATACAGCTGGTCGTGTCTTTACACTCATGTCAAAAGGCTATTTCACTGCAGGCACTCAGACTCACGCAACTGTTGTCAGTGACTCCATGTTACTATTATATTTGAAAATGATGGAAATTTCACAGCAGACACTTGGTGAAGAGTGCGACAGTGAGGTAGCATGTATAATACCAGGAACCTGAAACTGTGGCAGCGAAATGGAATCCTGTGATCATTTATTTCACCAGACGCTCGTGCTTTCGCCACTGAAACATGTAATAATGTCCCATTAGAAAGCCCTAATGACAACTCACCCATTTTCTTGCTGCCTTGCAATTCTAGGTCTAATCAGCCAAAATAGAAAACACCCGTGTGTGTGTGTGTGTGTGTGTGTGTGTGTGTGTGTGTGTGTGTGTGTGTGTGTGTGTGTGTGTGTAGGTCCTGCATCTCACATCAGCACATTGAGTTTAAAACAACCTCACTACTGGGGTTGTGGTAAAACATTGAGGTGCAACACAGGAACCGTCTGTGTATCATTCCTGGATTTTTTTTAGATAAGTTCAGTTTGGATGTTGCTGATCTCTGCACCACGAACGTGATGCATCAGGTCTACGTCTGATGAGACACAGTAACGACCTCCAGATGTTGCCTTAACAGAGACAGGATCTCTCTGTTAGAGGACAGTGAGCGGTCTGAGACAAAGCCACTGATTGATGGCAGCAGCGGAGTTCGGCCTGTTTGGTTTTCGAGCTGAGACGCAACATTCCTGCTCATCAGCACAAGGTTTCATTATGACATTCAGCAAACATCCATCTGCTGACGTCCGTGTGTGTGTGTGTGTTTATGCTTGTTTCTACGCCTGCCCTGTGTGCACCGGTGTGTGAATGTCCTCTGTTTAGCAAAAACCATCCGGTCTCATTGTGCTGATGAGGAGCGAGGACTCATTGTGGAGGTTGGGCTGCAGATGTTCTGCAGATGCAGCTGGACATGGCTGGTGTCTTCCAGCCAAACCAACGCATCTAACATGAAGTAACTCCAGCAGCCTGTGTACACGGCGTCATTCACAGGTTTGTTACATAACACCCAGTCCATCCAGTTCTACTTTTGCTGATAACTGTCAAGAGCGACTGGAGCGGTCGGTTCACTGCATGGGAACAATTAGCTGCTGTTCCAGTATTTGTGAATAACTAGTTAATCATTTTCAGGAGCAGGCATCATCATTAATGCCAGTCACAAGACTAACAGCAGAGACAGTCTCGTCCTAAAAGCTGTAAACGTGACCTGTCTGAATCATGTATGTAAATGTAATCTTCTGTCTGGTTTGACTAGACACAGCCCCTTCCTGGTATGCTGCCTGTTGCATGATCTCTGCTTTGGATGACGTCTTTCAGCTGTCTGTGTTGTTTGTTAAGTCTAAACCAGCATGGGAGGGTTTGTCGAGATGGTTTCTAAAGGTTGTCTTTGGGTAATTACGAATGAACGAGAGCTTTACTGAGATTAACAGCTGGCAGCTCTGTGCTCACCACCATGTTATCAGACATTCTGTAATAATCACTCTAGTTTAGCAAGTTAGCATCTTTACATTTGCTAAATAAATAGAGCTAAGTAATAACACACAGGAGTAGTGTTGTGTGGATCGGTTTGAGCCACTCGTTGGTTTCCCTCACAGAGGCTGTGGACCAGGTATTCTTTCAAGGGACAGCCACCGTAGCAGACCATCAGGAGACATTTACTGAATCTGGCAAAAGGTGTGTTGGATTTAAATGACTGACTCTGGCTTTAAGGGCTCACCTAAAGGGGATTTCCATTCATCCTGAAGGGGATGTAAATGTCTTTACCAAATGTCATGACAATCTAACATTTCCACCCCTAAAGCCACAGTGCTAACGCTGCTGGTGCCACTTAGTCGTCACGGATCAATCTTCCTGCTCACAGATTTGAAAATGTGTCCAAACAAACCTCAATCCATTTTCTTCAACAAAGCAACAGAAGTCCACATGTTCCCTGATGAGCCTGACCTTTTCATAGCTGCGGTGGGTATCAATCCATCACATAGGTTCAGTTTCTGATGCTCAACTCTTACATGTCAGATGCTCTTTACCTTGTACATGCAGTGCCATTTTGTCACAGTATTCTAAACTTACAACCTAATCATGGATGTTGATTTGCTTCAGAAGATTTCCTGCTGCTGGATCCCTCCGCAGCAGATTCTGCACGGTGGATTTATTCCACTCTTGCATTGCCAACAAGTGTGTTGGTAAAAACAAATGTTTTCTCCGTGTTGTTACTGACTGGCTGTGTAGTCTTTGTAATGACAGTAATCCACCAGAAAACCGACGCAGCATCACAATCATTCTCCCGTAATGTGGCGATAAAACATATTTCCTTTGGTCTCACCTTTGCAGTAGATTTCTCCGTCTTTCTCGGTCTGGGTGGTCGACTCCAGGCTCTTTCCACATTTTGCACAGCGGAAACAGTTCTTATGCCACGGCTACGAAGAGAAGCAGAGAGAATTTAAATGTCATACCTGCTGTGGCAGCAGTTCATGTCTGTCCTTGTGCTTTTATGCTCTGTCTTGCCTGAATTGTTAGACTTGTACGGCGCTGAAACAACAGTGACTCCAGACCTTTTTTCTTTTAGTCTACAGATAATAATTGCAGAGGTTCCTTGGATCATATATCATCATTTCCTTCATTAAATCCCATCAAAGCTACTCAGATTTCCCACAGCCCGAGGCCTTTCCTAATGTCTTCATTATACAGAAAATTACAGGTCATGCTTTAGCCTATGAGTGGAGTCTTTCCTCCCATGAGGAAGCACATCAACAGCTCTCTGTCTCATGACGTCACCTGCTATAAATCAGCTCATGTATATCCATACAGCGATCAGCGACGGGAAACGGTCCACTCCCATTTTTAGAAGAAACAAAAACCCTCTGAACACAAATCTTTTCCTCCTCTGCGGACAGATTTTCATGTGAGCAGCTGCTCTGAGACTCATTGATTTTCTTCTTCCGCACAAAACATCCTGCCAATACATCTCAAGAATGTAGACTTCATCTACTGTAAATCAGCACGTCAACAACATCTGCCAGAGCCCCGGTATCCACGCAGCCTTATGAGATTAACGCCAGCTGTTAGGAAGCTCCCATCCAAGCTTTATGGAACGGCTTCAGTCACAAACAGGATTTGTGTTCTCTCATTAGCAGGGACCAAACCTCCTGCATGTGCTTCAGCACTGTGAAAGCCACGAGTGATCAATCTGGTTCAACAAGTTTCTCCGCTGTGGTTGTGATATAGATGTTGTTCTGGGATGACGATCAAGAAACCAACAAAGGCTTGATCTCTTCTGAGGCTGGTCATGCTAAGACTGTACGATGAATGCATTCCACGCACTAGACACATTAATTATAAGTGCATGAATTATTTTAAACTGGCTTAAGGTCTGTGCAACAGACGTCATTACATTAGTGTAAACAAGACAAACCAGAATAGAAAAGCAGGAGGACTGTCTGTGGCATACGATCAGATTCCCAGACACACAGCTGAGTTTTGGACTCTACGTCAGCGTTGTCATGACAACAAATGAATTCTCAAATCACCCAAGTGTCATAATTTTTGCAACTTGGCTAAACCAGTGAAAGCTGAATAGCTAACTTGGCTAATACTCTGGCAGATGCCTCAATTTACAAGTAATTTCTTAAGGCTGAAACACATCCTTCTGGCTTCATGCGGCCACATTTATTATATCCAGCACTTGGAGATGAACAATGATCCAAAACTGTGTGATGTCGAAATAATGATCATCCATTAATCATCGTGCATCTACGGTTTTGCCACCACTGACAAATAAAACACCAAAATCCCTTCTCTTAGTCCGATCTTTAACTGATCTGGACCATAATTCATCTGTGGACGAGCGAAAGCAGAGTTCATGATTACATCAATACACTCATGACTTCTTAAGAGTTAGAACTGAAGACTATTTGGCTTATTAGAAATTAAAGTGAGCAGTGACTAAGGTATGTTTATACAGTTCTAGTTAATGATCCAAACAGATACTTGGACAAAAACACAAGAAGTTGAAGTCCATACACCGCTTAATCCTCTCTAGGGTCATGGGGGGCTGGAGTCTATCCCAGCTGACTCAGGGTGAAGGCAGGTTCACCTGGACAGGTCACCAGTCTATCACAGGGCTACACTTAGAGACAGACAACCAAGCACACTCACATTCACACCTACAGACAATTTAGAATCACCAATTAACCTCAACATGTTTTTGGATTGTGGGAGGAAGCTGGAGAACCCGGAGAGAACCCACACTGCACGGGGAGAACATGGAGACTCCACGCAGAAAGATCCTGGGTGACCTAACTGGGACGCGAACCGGCGACCTTCTTGCTGCGAGGCAATGGTGCTAACCACCGAGCACCTTGCAGCCCAAGAAGGTGAAATGATTCCTTTAAAATTCAGATATATTAAAACCTGTAAGAGGCGCTTGCTGTTTTTCCTTCTCTAAGTGGAGCCCTTGTTTCCCTGATTCTCCACAACAAGGTGGCAAGTGTGAAGTTTAGTGTGAACTTATTGAGCCACATAGCTGCATATATGGGACATCCATGGGTTGATGTAGAGTGGAATCACCAAACCGAAAGGATAAACAACTTAGCAATCCAAAATGTGTTCTTACGCAGAGCTTAGAAACGATCTATAAAGCATTATTTCACGGTGTATCATTAATGAAGCTGTTAGTACCATTTATAAGCTGTTGACAAAGGGTGCCGACATCTACATGTTCTTTGTTTTTAGCTCTTACATGTAAAAATGTGTCATTTGTTAACTGAAATAAACGACCATTTGGACTGTTTGATCAACACAAGCAATATGAGGGCATTCTCTGAGAGATTGCAATGGACATATTTCAATACTTTTAAACACTATTCTATCAATTATACTGCATAATAAATTATTAAGATGAAAAGAATGATCAGCTGTCGTACAACAACAGTGTGAAGGTCTGTGGCGTGAAACATGCTTCAGGTAAAACTCTCACCTTCCCTGCACCCATGATCTTCTCAGCTGCATAGACAGAGTCTCCACACCGAGCACATTTCTCCGATCCGCCAAACTTCTGGGCAAATTTGGACGGGTTGGGGTTGGTGGTGGGTCTGTGAGTCTGAGTCCTTAAGGGGACAAATAATAAAAATAAAACAGTTCCTGAAAACAGTTCATAGAAAAACCACGTGTATGTCTCAGTCATTTTGATCCAGTACAGACTTGAGTATATATCAACTAAAAGTTCTGAGAGTCTCTGAATATAATCATGAACAGGGTTTTCATTCAGCGGTGAAAATCAATAGATAACTGCAGGAACTTGACTTTAAAGTTGTCAGTTTTAGCTTTCTCATGCAAAACTAAGCTGTAACATTCTCAGGTTACAGCAGGTTCTTTCTGTTCTTAAGAAAACATTTACCAGTGTTGAACCAAGTCCCAAAACATCCGTAGTAATCAGTACCAACAGTGCATGATTTAGTTCAGTGTTATTTAAAGATTAATTCACGTCTTAATCAATACATACACAAAGAGACAACTTAACAAAATATTGTCAAAATGTAAAAATCTATTCTCAGTGCTGGGAAACGGAGAAGGGCACCCCGGGGCCTCGGAGCAGTGCTTATCGAAGGGTGACTGCCAGCTCCAGTGGCCCCTGAAAGAAGCCCTTTGTGGTGGAGGACAGAGAGCAGGGTGAGCCGGACCCTTCTGGTTACATAAGCAACTCTTTCATAACTTTAACCACCTGACGTCTGGGGCAGCGTAAACACTCTGGGTGCACCAAGTGTTGTTGTTTTGGGTGGGTTTACGTCGCGCACAAGGTTCTCAGATATCTAAACGGTTGTAGTTTGACAATCCGAGGGTCCAGAAAGCGGACCCGTTCCAGTCCAGCAGGCTGGAAGCCCGTTGGAAAGCGATGATCCTGATCTGTTAGGTTATGCATTTTACTCTTAATCATTACTCTGAATCTAAGACTTTGCCTTTTTCCCTCTTGGTTCTATGCTGCTCACCAAACCAGCTGCTTTAGCCAATCTGGATTTGATAAAGAGGCAGACCGTTTGCCAATATTCCCGTCAAGGTTTCTTTCCTCTTTCATAGCTTTGTGGTTTCAGCAGTGAGGAACAGAAAACGATGGTGAACAGAGCAGAGGGTTATATACACAGCTTTGAAACCGTTAAACTCGTGCCTTATGTGTCTGGTGTGCTGAAATGTCCGACATGCTGCAGGGTTTCTGATCTAATCTGTGACTGACATCTGACAAATAAGATTACAGATAAAGGTCATTATTTACACTCACAAACCACATAGGTGTTTACTCTCTTGCTCTGGACCCCTGATCTCCTGGAGGTGGTTGGAGAGGCCTAAAACTAGGTTGCAATAAAAGCGTAGTTACAGGGCAGCCTCTCAAACCACTGGGCCACCCAGCAGTTACCTAGATAAACCCACCTACTGGAATACGGCATCATGCTGTTTTCTGTCTGACGCTGCTATGCTGGTGGAGGAGAAAAACAACAACCATTTTGATTTGCATGTGAAGTACTTTCTGCATTTGGGGACTACTTCAAGTTCGGAGCTCTGAAAATAAAGCCGTGTAGAGACATTAGCTCTGTCACGGTCAGCTGCCGCGACTAATAAACATCATTGCACATAATGCGCCGCTGAAATCAGTGGCCTCTGTGACCTCGCTGCAGCTCTTGTGTAACTGTGTCTACTCAATGATCCTTTATTGAGACTTTTCGAGATCTCATTTGTCTTGTAGTGAAGCTCTAAAAATGTAAAACCGAGTTGAATTTAAAGTAGTTTTATGGTTACTGGCAGCACCGCAGGGACTTTACCGTTCAACTGGTTCTAAATTTGTACATCTTTACACCCTTTCCTCTCCACTCCCATAAGATGAAAACACTGCAGAGCTTCAAAGAACAGACGAGGACAGCAAGAACCCTGAACAGCAGCTCATACAGTAAATATGAGTGACAGCACTGATGTCATCGCATACGGTGTCATGAGGTCCAGCTGTGACTTATGTTAGTCATGATTCATAGCTTAACACGGAACCAAAGCTTATTAAATGGACACTTGATCACCATTAGCTACAGTGACACGAAGTACTTCACAGATTCGTGCGTCTCACTGACATGTGCAGCGACTCAGCCCAGCTTACTGTTCGGGTTTGATTCCAAGTCGCTCTCCTCGGTCCATGTTGAGTGTTCCCGCTCCCTGTCCGTAGCCATAGCCTTTAGGGCCGTACTTCTTCCCGTAGCACGACTTGCAGTAGATCTCCTGGTCATGAATAGCCAGTGTGGTGCTGTCTAAACCCTTCCTGCAGACCACTGATGGAAGACAGAGAGGGAGAGTTCTACTGGACCAGTGATGCTGTGAAATCATTGACTTACCCAAGAACATGTACGTATACCTGCAGCATAAACTTTGCTGGAAAGACACTGGAAAGAGCAAAGCAGGTGGCATGAAAGGCAACGACTGAAATAATCCCAGTTAAAGGGGAGGGCTGAAAAGTTCTGGAGTTCAAGAAGAACATTCAGATGAGCTAGAACATTACAGGAGTTTAAATGTCAGCTAAAGTGCCAAGAAGGAATGTATTTAGATAGGTCATTTAAAGTGTTAGCTGAACCCTAAGTGCTGAAAGGAGATCTGTGTGTGTGAACCATTAATCTGTGGTGCTGACAAGAACTGAAGTTTTGTTGTTGTTCTTTAAAGGCTGGTGTGCAGTTGTTATTACTTCTGGTTGGAGTTTGCATGTTCTTTGTGCAGGATTTCCCTCTTCTTGCTCTCAGAAGACATGCAGGTAGGTTAATTAGGGATTCTAAATTGTCCATGCGTGAGTGGGAACATGTGTGGTTGCCTCTCTTTGTGTTAAAGTTATCTTCAGCCTATTAACTGAACTCAACTGAGTCTTCAAACCCTTTCAGGTTACAAGTCTTCTTCTGTGACAAAAACAAAACAAACAAAAAAACTCCTTGAACTCTACAAGATCCTTCAACTTCCAGTGTTCACACACAATTCATTCTAGTTGTTTTCAGTCTTTACACCTCTGCCGACACCCTCATTGCTCAATTTGTCACCTAAGATTTCAACTAAATGCAGTGTCTACATGTAAAGCTGCACTCTGGTTTTACCTTAACTATCATTTTAAAGAGCGTTATATGAAACACCATATGGACAGGTTAACAAAGTCAAAAAAAAGTATTTCAAATGTCTCAAACTGCATTTTTTCTACAGTTTTGACTTTTTCATTTTGACTGTACACAGTGAACATGAACTGTCTGGCTGTGGCGTATCCCACACATCCCCAAGACATTTCAGAAGATGCCATCCTTCATTTTTAATCTCAAATGCAACAAGCATCATCTTTTTCTGTCTATCATCTATGCCTCCTTTCTTATTTCTTAACTAAATAAATGTTCAGTTTCTGCCATTTCTACCCCCATCGTCATCATCATACAGAAGCTGTTGAAGATTTCTGGCAGGTTTTTTACTGCGTAAAGAATGTTTTGTCTGAAAAAAAACAAAAGCACTGCAGCTGCTTAAGACTGCCCACTTATGCACATGCTGGCTCTTGGGATTACTTGAATTCTTCACACAATGGCTTTCACTGTGGGACTGTCTGATACTGGTTTAAAATTTCACACAACCGGCAGGAAAAAATGTCTCCATTCATGTCTCTGATCCCTCAGCCAAGACTCAAAATGAGAGCTGTTAGCAGCTCCTTAGATGACTTCTGTACGTCCCCTCAAAAGTCTCCTAAATCCTGACACGTCCTCATCCACCTTTGTGGCAACTGTTGTGGTTTATTTGCTATTTCTCTCCACTAACATCATTAATCTTCATGCGTTGCCACAGGCACTGAGTGTAAACTAATATCAAAGCCAAAGTGACAGATGCGGTACACAGAGTCACATGAGGTTCGACTGTGTGGCTTCTCTGTCGGCATAAAGCTGCCTTTCATACACAGACATTAAAAGAGGTGAATGTCAAAGAATGTCAAACTGAGAAACTGGAGGAAAGGGCGAAGGATCCAAAGACACTAAGTCCCCTTGCTCATCATCTTCTATGTGGGAGAGTGAGACAAAGCCGCCTTTGTAACTGAGCCGCTCGAAAAAATAAACTCATCTTTTGTGGCTCCGATTGTTTTGGTCTTCTCTTGATAGCAGCTAAATGAAATCCTGGTCCGTGTGCAAGCTCCTCACTGGAACATCTTCGCTGACATTTCAAGGATCATGGTTCAGGATCAGGACAAGCCGCCCACCCGGACAACAAACTGACAATAATGCAGTGTGAACTCAACAAGCAGTGACCAGTGCTAGAAATGTCAGTACGAGCTCTCTTTGATGAGCCGAGGAGGTGAAAATCAGTTCAAGAGCTTCTCCTGACTCGGTGGTTTCTGTGCCTGATCTCACACGGCTCTTAAGATTTGGATTCCACATAGTAAATAATATGTGCAAGATGATGCAATATCTGCAGCTGGCAGGCCTGACATTTCTGTATTTATTGTAAAAGCTATTAAAATATGCCAGCAGGTTTTCCCTGCATAGTGGAATTATAGATGCTCCCTCCATAAAGAGGGAAAATCACCTTGAATGAAAACTGAGAATAAAAATTGGTTTTGCTAATTCAGGTTTCACTGTGGGGCTGCATGGTGGCGCATTTGGTAGCACTGTTTCCTCGCCGGTTTGAGGACACCAGGATCTTTCTGCGTAGAGTCTCCATGTTCTCCCCGTGCAGCGTGGGTTCTCTCCGGGTTCTCCAGCTTCCTCCCACACAGTCCAGGAGCATGTTGAGGTTAATTGGTGATTCTAAATTGTCCGTAGGTGTGAATGTGAGTGTGCTTGGTTGTCTGTCTCTAAGTGTAGCCCTGTGATAGACTGGTTACCTGTCCAGGTGAACATGTCTTCACCCTGAGTCAGCTGGGATAGACTCCAGCCCCCCATGACCCTGGTGAGGATTAAGTGGTGTATAGATAATGGATGGATGGATGGATGGATGTTTCACTTTCTCAAGCATAATGGACATTTTACGCTTTAGAAAATCTTGGAAAGGCCAAGATTTCTGTCAAATAAGGTCACACAGACATGGCTGCTCACTGCTTAGTGGCTCCTCAAAGAACCGTTCTGCACAACCCGTCCGACTAAAACGTCTCATTTGTTTATAACCAGCTACTTCCAAGCAAACAGACAACAAATGTGATTGTTAAAGTGTTGGTGGACGAATTCATCTGAACTTTAAGAGTTGACCTTTTCAGTACAACAAGTTCAGTGTCCTGACATTTTTATTAAATGTTTTATATAAACCTCAGATGTCACAGCTTCTTTTAACGAGAGTTTTAAGAACAGCCTTTGACGCAACTACAACACCACATGATAACAACATCATTATAAAACAGACACTCCAGCCAGTGAATGCTGCACTTTTATAACTTTTAACAACATGTATAATTCTCCTCCGTTACCAACACGCACATGAACCACTGATGTGAAGTTATTGTTATCTGTTAGGAGTCTGAGTGCACAGCAGATTGATGTAGATGTATTCCATGCATTCAGCATACGCACCGCTGCAGCGGTCGTAAAGACTGAATTTTAGGCTGCACATGGACATCTGTAAAGTCTGATATTCACGTACTTTGGCAGATGACAAAATTTATGTCACTTGGCGGACTACTCGCAAATGTGGGAAGTCTAACACTGTTCTTAGGCTCTTGCATGGGGCGACCACAGGACCAGATACTTCAAATAAAACAGGTGCCGCGACCATGAGTCCGTGGTAAATAAACGCTCGCATTCTTCAGACTCTTTGAACTCATACTGAGGATTATTTAGAGCCACAGAAGACATCATCTGTTTTCACAAGCTGACCAGTATTTCCTGTCCCTTGACACATAAAATCCATTTAGTCCCACTTTAACAAATAACTACCATTTAAAATCACTATCTGTGTTTTGAAATATCTCAGGTGTGGGTGTTAGACGTGTACTTACTGCAGAGGAAACAGCATTTGTGGAAACTCTTCCCATCACACTGCACCTCCTCGGCGTGGTAAACCGTTCCACGGCACGCTGCACACTTGTTGCCTCCTCCCCAGTTTGGCATTGTGTATTTGTTTCTAGAAAGAAGATGGAGATGATGTGAGTCTTTCCTCCTCTTTTTGCTTCGACATGTCCTCATCCAAACATTGGGAAAAATGCTGTTCTGTCCTATTTAACAAAAAGGAAGTCCAGCAACACTCTCCTTCATTAATACCCATTTCATACACATGAGGAGGATGCACCAGACGGAAATGGGCGTCCTGCTCATGATTAATTGTTGGTGTAACATCATTAAGGTTTATAGTTGCCGTAATATCTGCAGAACTTCTCATCACATATGAGAACCGAAAACCACAGACCTCAGCTGCCGCCAAGCACAAACAAGGTCAGCCTAAACAACAGGGCACACTAATACCCAGAGGAATGTAGTGGGACGCCGTGCCGTAAGGCTTTTGTTGTCTGACGTGCTGTGGCTGTAGGATACGAAAAACAAACTGGGCAGAGGAAGTGTGAGCGTGAAGTAAACACTGTTTTGTTACCGCACAGAGCCCAGAGCACGTACTCAGTCCCTCCCTGACTCACATGTACATCTGCCTACAATCGCAGACTCACTCCCAGTTTCAAAATGTGTCAGGAGGGCGTCGATGTGCCTCCGAAAGAGAGAAATTTCACCGCAAAGCAAGTCTGCAGTGAGATCATACTTTGGAGACTAAAATTAAAAGGTGCTGTGACTGTTAATTAATTGAAAAGAAAACATAACGCACCAGAAACCATCAATCTTGCCTTTTACTCAGGGGTCCTCCCAGTTGGATTAGAGACTGCAGAACAGGCCTGAGCATGAAGGGGGATCAAAAGACCACAAAACATCACCCTTAAATTTTCCTCAGCGGCCGGGTGTGATGAGACGGTCGCTGCTGAAGTGTGCAGACCAACAAGTCGTCTGATGCGCACTTTGATGAGGAGGTTTTTTTTTTAGCTTGCCTGACCGCAGTCCATTTTCAGGGACAAATCTTATTCCGGAGTCAGTATTTGTCCCCACAAAAGAATCCTAAACAGCTCTGAGATCATTGTTGGACACTGAAATGTTCCAGGACTAATGAAACCTTGTTATCACTGAACTCTCACTGACTGGACCTTTTCAATTTCCCAACTCTGGAATTCATGACAGTCTTTATATGAACCTGGAATCAGAATTTCATTCAAGTACATTTATTTTTTCCAGGCACTTGTCACACATATGATTGTCCAGACACACTGTTCCTCACTCATCTCACCAAACAGTCTTGAAGCTATAGACAATGCCGGCCCAGGTGTCATAGCTGTATGTAATTAATCCATCTATGTTCAGGAATATGAAGAGTTCATTTGCAAAAACAGATCTTCACAAACCTTCAGAAAACCATCTTCTCCATCGTCTACCTGAGACAACATCAACCAAACTTAAGTTATCTCTGTTGTTGTCATTTCTACTGAGTCAGATCCACTTCACTTCAGTATGATTTGATATTATCTCAAGCAAACAACAACAAAAACAAGTTGCAGATGAACTCTTCATGTATAAAAGAGGTGAACTTCTCCTGTCCCTGGTTGTAATTTATAAAGTTTGTCAGTTATTATGGGACATTTCTGTTCTGTTTTCAATAAAACTGCCCAAAATACACCAATGTATTTCAGTTATTACTAAAACAATTAGCAATAAATCAGAAAAAAAAGTTGATTTATCAAGAACCTGCCGCTAAAAGTTTCCCAGCAGCTCCTTAAAACAAGAAACACATTGGCTCTAAATCAGATAATGCACACAGCAACAGGACAAACTCAATTTATATCAATAATTTGAAGTATTCAACCTGTTTATCTTGTCAGTAAAAAAGTCAGAAATGTAGAGAATTCAAAATAAATAAAAATAAAACAACTGACCTTGAAGGTGAAGCAGCAGACGGGCTCCAGATGTGAGGATGGCAGAGCTCCAGCTCAGCGTTAACGGTGAATCCAGAAGCTTCCTCCGCAGCGCACTTTGCTCCACTGCCGCTGCGATGCCACATACTCTGAATATTTACGGCTCCAGTGGAAGGAGGCGTCGAGGGGGCGTGAACTCAACACTGCTGCCTTCAGGTGCAGTCGGAAAAATCACGATTATGTTTGTATTAAAAGTACGCGTAGAAAGAGACGACAGTGGGCCGCTGCAGCACACCTGGACACCAGGAGAAATCAGTCACTGGTATTTATAGCATAGATTTTTAGCCTTCCAGTAGGGACACAAGACTGACAGATCTGCTTTGCAAGTTTAGACACTGAGGTTAAGGTCCTACAGCCTTGTTTTTAATGTCAACATGTGAATAATTTAGTAGTAACAATTAAAACCTCACAAAATTATCTAAAATTCAGCTTACTGAAATAAAAATGAAGACCTACAGAATTATTAAGAAAGTGAGATACTTTGCCCAGAGCAGCGTCTGTCTGTTTCTGTGGAGATGCTTTGATGGAGATTAGTTTGACTAATTTGAGCATCAAGGCTAAGATCACACAGTAATGTTAATTTTGGAGATGATTCTGACTAATATAGAACTTCAATTATGACACTACAGAAACAGAAATGAAAACCCAACAAATACAAGGATTCTCTATCAGCAAGATTTGTTTGTTTTTTCTTATGTGGAAGACTTTGTGTTTTGTTTTTTAAAAGTATTATTATTTTTATTTCATTTTATTTGTCTTATTTATATTTGTAATGGGGGCTGCAAGCTGGCTCTGTGGTTAGCACTGTTGCCTCGC